TCACAATCATGATTGGTCTAGCCTTAGCTTTAGAGGGTCAGCTCCCAGCTCAGGAGTACACTGTTTGGCTGGCTTGACACGTGAATGGTGAACCCACATTGAGATTCCATCAACCTTGAGAGCCAGGGACATTGTGAGGATGACCATGTATGGTCCCTTCCAGACTGGAGTCAGTCCTTCACTCTGAAAGGCCTTGATGAAGACAATACCCCCGGGCTGGAATGAGTGGCACAGCATAGAGCTGGGCATGGACTGAGTAGCTCATACCTGAGAGTGAACAATTTTCTGTATCTGTTGGAGAGACTGGAGATACTTTAAGAGGGACTGGTTAGAAAACTCTTCTAGTACCCCACTTTTAAGCTTGGGGAGCAGGGCAAGGGGTCTTGCAAACATAATTTCATAAGGAGTAAAACTTGGTTTATAAGGGGTGCACCTTACTCTAAGGATAGCCAAGGGCATCAGGCTTCACCAGTTTCCAGTTTCCAAAGTCAATTTTGTTTCCTTCACCAGTTTCCAAAGTCAATTTAGTCAGAGTAGATTTTAGGGTCCGATTCATCCATTCCACTTGGCCCAAGCTTTGAGGTCAGTAGGCAAAGTAGAGTTTCCAATTTATACATGTGACCTACTAACTGAGTTATAGAGGCTACAAAGGTGGGGCCATTGTCAGAACCATGCACACCAGTAGTCCAAATCTGGGGATTAATTCCTGAAGAAGCTTCAGTAGCATAGACCTCTGCCCAACCTGAGAAGATATTTATGAAAACCAAGAGTTAGCGATAGCCATCTGCTGGTGGGTTGATCTCTGTGAAATCCACTTCCCTGTGTTCTCCAGGATTCCAACCCCAGAATCTGACCCCAAGGGGTGCAGATGGGCCCTGATGGAAATTTACTTGTACATAGGTCGGGCACTTAAGAGAGGCCTGGTGGGACAGCTCCTGCAGCTTTGAAAAGCAGTATCTTGGAGCTAGAAGCTCAGCCATCTTGGAGGCCCCCAGGTGCATGACCAAATGCAGCTGCTAGAGGAGCTGTCATGCTAATGCCTGGGGGAGGTAGATGTGACCATCTGGACATTTCCATCAGCCTTGGGGATCTTTCTTTGCTTGCAGCTGGCTTGCTTCTTTATCTTCCTCTTCATTGTAAGTAGGGCTAGTCAGGAGCAAAGGGGTGTTGGGGGCAATGCTACATAATTCTAGGGAAAAATCATTTGAGTGGGCCTAGTTCTCCTGCCTGCAGGCCAACTATGACATTCCAGACACAATTGCATTTTGGCCTCAGGTCACAACTGAGACCTCAGTGATCCCGGGATGCTGTAATCTCCAGGACAGGACCACAAGGAGGAACCAAATCTTCATCTGCATAGTTCCTCAGTGTTCTTAGATTTCCACTGCCCCCCAGCCTTTTGTTACACCTTGTTTATCCCAATGTGAACTACTGAACTCTGCATTTTCACTTGTTACATCTGTTTCCCCACGTACTGAATAAAAGGTGCGGCAAGCTAGGGGGCTTTTGTCTTTGCTGCCCAGAGCAGCACTGATCAGACCCAAAGCTCAGCTTCTTCTCATTTGTCTACCTTTCCTGTAGCAGAGGTTCTGGTAACGTCCCCTTCCCCTGTTCCCTACAAAGAGGGAGGAGGAATCATGGTAGGGAGGATGACTAAAGGTTCAGCTGGCCTCAGGGCTGCCTCTCTGGCTGCAAGGTCTGCAAGTTGATTTTCCTTAGCCTCGAGTGTATTGTCCTTTTGGTGACCCTGAACATGAATGATAGCTACCTTCTTGGGAAGCCATGCCACCTCTAGGAGAGACAATGTCTCCTCTTTGTTCTTGACAGTCTTTCCTGCAGCTGTCAGGAGCCCTCTCTCCTTGTAAATACTCATGTGGACATGTAGAGTAGCAAAGGCATAACTACTGTCAGTGTATACATTTATCTTGTTTTCCTTTCCCCATCTCAAAGCCTTGAGCAAGGTGATCAGTTCTGCCTTTTAGGGTGAGATCCCCTCAGGCAGAGGCTGGGCCCAAATGACTTGATCAACTGTAGTTACTGCAGGTCCTACCCTCTGCACCCCGCTTACCACCATGCTGCTTCCATCTGTGAAGAGGGTGGCATCTGCCTCTGCCAAGGGGGTGTCTGTTAAGTCTGATCAGCTCCCTGGGTCTGATCCAGCACTTCCTCACAGTCCTGAATTGGGATGTTGGGGTTATCATCCAGTATCAGTGTAGCCAGATAGAGGACCAGCCCTGCTGAGAAGATGATTCAAGGCTGGTCAAGGAAGAGGCTTTGATACTGAGTGAGGCAGGCATTTGACATCCATTTGTTAGTAGCCACCCCCCCACCCCCCCAGCAGAGTCTCTACTGAATGAGGGGCAGTTAGGACTAGGTCCTGTCTGAGGGTCAACTTATCAGCCTCCTTGACCAATAAAGGTGTGACAGCTACTGCCCGAAGACATGAAGGCCATCCTGAGGCCACGGGGTCTAATCTTTCAGAGAGATAGGCCAGGCCAGGGGATGCTTCCAGGGTCCCAAGGACTCCATCAAGACTCCCTTGGCAATCCCTCTTACCTTGTGGATGAACAGATGAAAAGGCTTAGGAACATCAGGGAGTGCTAGAGCCAGGGCTGATACCAGAGTTCTTTGCAGATCCTGGAAGACCTTTTCTTCATCTGTTCCGCATTCTAGGTATTGATTTCCTCCTGTGGCAGAATGGAGGGGCCTCACTATTTCAGAAAACCCAGGCATCCCTAGGTGACAGTATCCAGCTGCACCTATGAATTCTTGTACCTGTTTCTTGGTATATGGTGTGGGTTTCTGGAGGGTGGCCCTTTTTCCTGGCCTGGGACAAAGCTCTTCTTCCTTCTGAGATTTCATACCCCAGGTACGATACTTCAGGGGTGCAGAGTTGTGCCTTCTTGGCCAAGATGAGGTAACTCAACTCCTTTAGTAGCTGAAGAAGCTCTCACGTCCCCTGCAGGTGTTCTGAATAGCTAGTAACAGCTAATAACAAATAATCCACATATTGAAGCAGGGTGAGGTTAGGGTGGTTGGATTGAAAGCCCACCAAGTCCTTTTGGAGGGTCTCACTGAACAGGGTGGGTGCATTTTTGAATCTTTGAGGCAGCTGAGTCCAAGTGAGCTGGCATGAGATGCTGGAAATTGGGTCAGTCCACTTGAAGGCTAAGATAGGCTGGCTAGCTGGGGCAAGGGGCACACTGAAAAAAGCATCCTTTAAATCTAGCACAGTATACACTTGGTGCTCAGAAGACAGCAAACTCAGGAGGGTATATGGGCAGGGGACAGTAGAGTGCAGAGTTACCATTACCACTCACCAGTTAACTTCTCTCAAGTCCTGGACAGGCCTGTAATCTGACATCCCTGGTTTCTGTACTGGCAGGAATGGGGGTGTTCCATGGAGACTGACAGGGAGTTAATATCCCAAAGTCCAGCAACGTTTTAATGTGAGGGGCTATCCCCTGTCTGGCCTTCTGAGAGACAGGATATTATTGAACTTGCACAGGTGTGGCTGTCGACAAGAGCTCAACTGTCACTGGAGGGTGGATTACTTTCTGCCCATACTTTCAGGAACTCCACCTGGGGTCTGTCCAATAGGCCCTTGGGGCTTGTTTCCACTGGGGTTTCTTCCCCCAAGAGGAGATGCTCCTCCGTCATGGCTGTGGTCAAGAACAGTTGGTATGAAGGGAGTGACATCTGAGCCTTGGTTGGACTGAAAGAAATGGTGGCCTTTAGCTTATGAAGGAGGTCTTGGTCCAGCAAAGGGAATGGGCAGGCAGTCTGGTATCACTGGAAAAGAGTAACTTGCTTTGGTCCCAGGCTCACCATTTGTTCACTTGTGAGCGGGCAGTTTTGGACTCCTTCCGTGGCCCCTGGATGGGAATGATTTGTGATGAAAGCTTTCCCACATGAATTTTTGACACTGACCTCTCGGCACCAGTGTCCACCAGGAAATGGACTCGTTGGCCCCTACTTCAACATTTGCCATGGGCTCCTGGGAACCAAGAGGAAGGAGCCCTCGCCCCTCAGTCTGAATCTTCCTCTCCCCCAGATGTGGGGAGGGATAGCACCTTGGCAGGGGGCCTGTGGGGGCATTCATTTTTCCAGTGCTCTTCCCCCTTCCAATAGGCACACTGATTTCTGCCCAATGGCAGTATCCTCCTGGTTTTCTAGGCACCTGCCCTTTGGGCTTCCTGGAGTTGGGTCCCTTGGGGTCCCCTCTGATGGCTGCTGCCAAGATCTTTGCTTGCCTCTTTGCCAACTGCTCAGCCGTGGCTGAGGCCAATTTTTACTTTTCTTTTTTTTTGTCCCGGGGATTGAACTTGGGACCTTGAGCTTGCAAGGCAGGCAGCGGAACCACTGAGCTAAATCCTGGGCCCAATTTTTGCGTTTTTGAATCCCTATTGTCAAACATCTTTTGAGCTCCTTCTAACAGCTGAGACATGTTCATTCCTGGAAATCTCTCCAATTTTTGTAATTTCTTCCTAATATCAGGTACAGACTGAGTAACAAAAGCCAAATTTCTAGCTCTATTGTTCTCTGGAGCTGAGGGGTCGAGTGGGGTGTAAGCCCAGAAGGCCTCTCGGAGTCTCTCCAGGAATGCAGTGGGGGACTCCTCTGCTCCCTGTGTTACTTCCATGGTTTTTGACAGATTTATGGGTTTCCAAGCCACTGCCCAGATCCCATTCAACAAGTTCTGGTGAAAGGTGGTCAAAGCCTGTCTTCCCTCTGAAGAATTTGGGTCCCATTCAGGATGCTCTGAAGGGAAGCCTTGTTTTAGCAATTTATGGGCCTCCTCCTCTGAATGCCCTCCCAATAAAATCTTTCTAGCCTCAAACCTAATCCTGTCCTGCTCCTCAGCAGTGAACAGGGTCAAAAACAACTGTTGACAGTCATCCCAGGTGAGTAAATGAGTCCTAAAGATTAACTCAATCAGGGAAATCAGAACCTGGGGCTTCTTAGAGAATGGTGGATTCTGGGTTTTCCAGTTGTACAGGTCAGAAGTGGAAAAGGGAACATATGCCAGGAATGGGCAGGTGCCTGGTTCTGCCCCATTGGGAGGTGGGGCCTCCCTCAAAGGCAAGAGAGCCTCTGGACTGCGTCTTTCCAAGGTGGTGACCACCTGTCAGGATTGGAGATGCTCTCCTATAGGGGGAGAGGTAGCAGGGTAAGTAGAGGAAGAAACGGGAGAGTCTGGGGCAGCCAGGTCAGGACGGACAGGAGGTGGGGGGAACTAGGGTTACACAGAGGTGGACAAGGCAGGACTTCCTCAGCATCTGACCTCTGCAGAACCGGTTTCTGTCTCTCTGGAGTTCACCCACAATGGGGACAACCACTTTTGGAAACAAGCAGCTTTGAATAGGCCTTCTTGGCACAGGCGTTTAGCTATGGAGAAGGCTGCTGCACTAGAGTAAACCAGGAGTCGATGGAAGGGAACCAATCAGGGTGTCCTGGTGACCCAGTAACAACCTTCCAATCTGCCTGAACCAGGGCAGGGTTGAGGGAGCCCTCAGAGGGCCAGCTCACAACTAAAAGAGGTCCACTTGAGCTCGCAAAAAGTGCGAAGTTTGTTCTTTGACATTTTCACTCCATAATCATCAGAAAATCCTGAAGAAAAATTTCTAAGCATGCAGACCAAGGGCATAACAGGTTGTGAGGATGACGACCCCATGGCAGAGAGACTTAGGGCAGGCGGGAGATACCCAAGAATAAGAGCTGCAAGAAAAATAAAAAGAAAAGAAGACAAAGCAGCATGAGGGAGAGGATATCAAAGGGGCCTGATAGTACATTGATTGGGGGGTTAAAGGTGAGTCTTTGTTAAGAGTTTCTGTGCCGCAGACCAGCTGCAGTCAATGTCGATGCAGGGTAGGAAGGGGAGATGTCCTGGGCCGGCGATGAGAAAAGAACCTCCTCAAGCAATGTTCAGGTTCCCTCTGAGAAGTCTCAGGGTCTGATTTATTTTTATATCTTTAAGCAATAGCTGGGAGGCATTGGGCGGAACATGTTTACATTTTAGGTTGCCTTAGCAATTTCTATTGAAGTAAAGGTTATTTTTTGCTAAACAAAGTACAATTCCTCTAAGCTGATTCATTTCACTGAACATCATGAATACATATTTAAAAATTACAATTGTCCCCTTATTTACCCACACCTAAACAGAACAGAAGGTAACTTAATCAAAATCTTTATATCAGCGGGGGTACAAGCAAGATTTAATCAACTAAGCGTCAAACTTGTGGTCACCAGCTGGCCCTTGAGAAACTGCACAATGGTTAATATAGTTTGCTATTAGCTCTCTATTTTTCTATACCTCTATTCATCTTAACTAAATGTCATTTAGGTTCATAGTCCATGAGCAGGAGATATTTACAGCACTTTGAGAAATATTGAGTAACTTGCCTCCTTAATGCATTTACCTGTCTTAACGTTCTTTCTTTTTCCCATTTTCCACTATTTCTTACATCTAAAGTCTGTCCTTCCAATCTCTTCATAAGACCCCTTTAGTAAAAAGAATGTCAGCAATAAGAGGGGGAGTTATAGTAGTGGGGAAACAGCGGGGGTTTTAGGAGAGGTTTCTTTAGGAGTGGATGGGGCAATAGAACTAAGAGAAACTGGAATTTGGGACTTGTGAGCCAGATCAGATTTTAATATATCATTACCAATTTGCCTCATGGAGAGTTTGTTGTTAGTCACAAACACAATGACTCCTGTGATCAGAGTAACAATTATAAACATTATGGCAAGAAAAAATAAAACATGAGGGTACGATGTGTTCCACCCTTTCTTTCCCGCAGCTGGAACTTTGTCAAGCAGCAATGGAGGTCGGTTGGGCTTCGCCATTTCTGCAAGCCTCGGGAGGGACCAGGAGGGACCAGGACCCCTGTATTGACGTTGGGGCTGAGATGCTGCTGATGTTTCCACTGGAGAAAGGCGAAAAGGCTCCGAAATGCTTCCTCCGGTAAGGGTTGTAGGATGGCCTCAACTGCAATGTCAACAAGGGTCCAGGGTACAAAGGGAGGGGAAAAGATGCCCTTAGGACAACAAAGCCACCAATGGTCAGAGAATGTCCTCAAAACTCAGTTCAAGGAGTAGGAAACCCAACAGGAAAAACACTGAAGGACATAGTCAGGCAAGGGCTACCCACGGCAGAGGTAAACAAAAACAGGATGAGTGAGAACTGATCAAATGAAATAGTCTCCTGAGCTTGGCCATGGGCAGGACACAGGGTAGGCAGAAAGGTGGCAGAAAAGATGGACCAGAAGATGGGACTTGTAGTCGGGCTGATCTCAAAACTGAAAGGCACCTCTATTATGCCAATCAGTCAGCTTCAGATCAAAGGAAGAATGCCAAGGACACAGGCCTGGAAGAGAGAGGATTTGGCCCTGTTGGAGCTGGTGAAATCTTTCCCAAAGTATGACGTGTGAGACACAGAAGGAACAGTGTTGGGGAGAATAAGGCAGGTGGGAAAGCAGTTGCAGGAGTCCTGGTAGCAAGAGGTCAGCCGCAATTTGAAGAAGACAGGTCCCAGTGTGTGGGGACAATGGGGATGCCTGGACAGAGAAAATCCCTTAGTGTTTATGTGGTGAAACCCTGGAATGATGTTGTGACAGACGAAGCGGGTGTTCCTCTGTGGGGATGAACCACTCAGTCAGTCAACTGGCTGTGAGCCTCTCAGCCACTTTAAGGACCGTCCAGGCTTTAGGGTGTAATTATCTCATTGCAAGAGCACCCAGCTGGCCTTTCTTAGACGTGTCCATGGAATCACATATGACCTCAGTCAGACCCCATAACTCCGAGGGGGAGAAATCCCCCTCTTCATCATGGGGCACAGACAGGACAGTCCATAGCTTACACTGCCCATTTCCAGTCCCACATTCATTCATACAACAGCCATTTGGAGGTTAAAAACTTTCCAAACCCTTCCCTGGTGATTTCCCAGATTGGCTGACTTGCAGCCAGACCAGACTAGACCATAGGCTACCTCAGGCAGTGTCCTGACCTTAGGAGGGGCCTGCGGAATGCTTTCGTCAAGGACTACTATTCCCCACCAGAACCAGAAGGCTCCTTATCTGCAGACCAGAGCAGGTGGACTCTGGAAAATTTGGAGGGTGACCCAGGCATCTCTGCAATCCACTCAGTGTCAGCAGTGAGACTACGGGGCCCTGGACTGTCTCGGGGGCACCTTCCATACAGTTTGCTGCTGCAGATGGGAGGGACCACAGCAAGGCCAGTCCACCCACCGTGGTGATCTTGCTGGGGCCTCCAGCTGTTATGGGCGAGCGAGTTGGAATAATAGAGATGTGCCACACTCTGAGCCAGAATTGAGTCTGTTTTATATACAGCAGGTGACCAAGAGGGGTTAGTGCCCAGAAAGTTCTCTTGGCCCTGAGAGACAGTTTGATTTCTCCTTTTAAATCATGCTTTCAGTTGGGGAGGGCTCAAGGGGAGAACAAGTGAAATTTTACAAAAGCAGAACCGTGCCAGGTTGGGGGGGGGTGGTCAAAAGGGAGTTTTACACATTAGGTGAGCGACAAAACATCCTGCAACTGCAGCAAGTTTACTGCCAAACAGGATATGGGTTTTGGGTGCTTTGTCCAAGCAAAGGAACACACAGGTGGTAAGACTCAAGGTGGAATCAGGTTGGTTAGCACGGGAGAAGCCCAGAGGAGGAAACTAAGGAGACGGCACACACTATAGGCAGGAGCCCAGTGCAGCCAGACCGGCAGAATGGGTCACCATCAGTCTGGAACCCCGAATGCGCTGCATGATTGTGGCACCATAGTCCCAGACTGGGGCGGGGGGGGGCCACCTGTGCCTGCACACAGCTGAAATTCTGAGGCCTAGGGAATGGGAAGGAGGAGATGCTGGCAGGGTTCCTAGTCCTGGGTGTTGACCACTGGACTCCTTCTCTGGGTACACGGGTGAAGTGAGTGGGAAATTAGTGGCCATGGACACCCTGGGGCAGGGATTCCAAGTCACGTGGGTGTGGGCCGCCCAGGGCCCATTCTCCTAACTGAGCAGCTAGGATTCCCATCCTCCCAGCTGAGGAAACCATGGAGCTTCCCCTAACCAGGGAGGTGCAGGAGACCAGGCAGGGGTGCTCTGCTGCCAGGTGAGGGAGGACAGGGCCATGGGATCCCTCCAGAGGCTTCAGTGCTCAAGCTGGACTGTCTCTTGTGACAGCTGTCAGCAACTGGCAGTTTGGTCGGCTGAGTCGCCTTGGAATTAGTACAGCACACTTCTGGGCGTACCAGGTAGCCGTGGGGCATGACCTTGGGGACCCTGTATGGCCCTGGCCCTGGCTCTCCAGAGCTTTCACCCTGCTGTCTGCTCCCTGGGTGCCCGGAGCTAAGCATCTTTCTTTTGCTCAGAGCCCAGCAGCCCCGGACTTAAACCTCAGAAACTGCCAGCAAAACAAACTCTTCCTCCTTTAAGTTGTGCACATCAGGTATTTTGTCCCAGCAACACAAAGCTGACCCAGACATCTGCTTTTCCAAGTCAGAGGTGGAGGGAAAGCCTGGGTCCTGGCACGAGGAGGGGAGCCTGCCAGCCTGAACCAGAGGCCCCAAGCCTGCACCCGCACAAGAGCCCCCAGCCCTCCTAGAAGCTGGCCCTCACCCCACTCAAAGGCCCTAGGGACCCACCCGAGCACCCATGGCACCAAGGACCCACCCTGCCTGGGGAACCTCGGAAACATTTAACTTTGTAGCTGGTCTAGGGGCCAAAGAGCTTCGGGACGTGGCCAGGGGTCCCAGAGATGCAGGGAGAAGCCCAGGCCAATCCAGGGAGGAGGCTGAGGACTCGGGAGGAGCACCCTGGGGAGAGGGGATGGGCCCAGGCCTGGGCTCCTGGAGGCCCGCACACTGCAGGGTGCCCCTAGGGCAGGTGGTGGACACACGGGAGCTGTGACTGCAAGCAGAGAGCAGGGAAGAGAGTCTCAGGGATGTGATGTGTCAGTGGGTTTGCCGGGTCCTCTCCTGGCCAGCACCCTGCCTATCCCTCTCTGCACCCAGCTGCCGTGGGAGAGGGCAAGGAAGACGTCCTTCCTTTCTGGACACCTCTCAGGGATGCCATTCAGTTGGAACCTGAGTCCCGTCCACAGGTAACACGGGGCCGCAGTGGGTGTCCAGAGTGTGTGAAGGGTTCCCAGAATCAGAGCTCTGCTGGGGAGAGAAGTGGGGACCACTGCTGGGGTCCAGGATGGCAGCGGAAGCAGAAGCACAGACACCCCAGCCCCACCCAGATCCTGGCAGTCAGGAGCCCCTTAGTCCAGGTCCCCAAGAGGCCCCATGGAGCCAGGACACAGGCGGGGCCACAGTGCTGCTGGGTTGGTGGTGTCTGCTGCCCTGAGGGGCAGGGCCTGGCAGTGGCTCTGGCCCGTCGACTCCCCGAGTCAAGGGTCGGGCTTTGCCGTGACCATGGGGACCTGAGGCCAAGAGCAAGGGGGCCTCAGCTCCTCCCGGCTAAAGGACGAAGCACCTGAGGAGGACCCAACAGATTCCGGGTAGGCTGCCCCTCCCCACAGCAGGTACCCAGAGACCTCTGTCCTGAGGACCTGCTCTGCTCCTCGAAGAGACGCTGCACCAAGGGTGGCTCATCTCAGGACCGAAATGGGGACGGTGAGTAATGCTCCCTCCCCAGGACACGTCACAGCACTGTGGAAACACACACTTTATTGAGCCCAATTGTGGACAGCTGCTGAGGGTGTGGGGTACAGAGCAAGACCCAGCCCAGGGCCAGAGAAGCTGTGAGGGAGGAAATCACAGGACTAGTAGCCCTGAGAATCCTTTGTCACTGGGACAAGCGTTGGAAGAGTGTCACGATGGCCGCAGAGTATACAATGATGAAGACAACAGTGAGGATGATGGTAACAACTGTGGCAATGATGTTCAGCCACCTGGAGGTGGAGGCGTAGCTCTGGGCCCCGATCACGTCGCCCACCATCTTCCTGTCCCTGGACTGGGGGAGACCAGAGAGTGAGGGCCCTGTGCTGGGTCAGGGGAGAGCCAGGCTGCTGACCGGGGGGCCCCAGGGTTGCCCTGCCCTCACTCAGGTCGGGGACCCCCCCCCACACTCAGACTGTGCAGGAGGCCCGGGTGCTGGCCACTCACCACCGGGGGCAAAGTGCCCTGTGGGTCCTTCTGCAGCTCCCAGACAGCCTGGGGCTGGTGTGGGCAGCGGGGAGAATTCCTCTGGGTGGCCGGGGACCAAGTGTGACCCCAGGATGCCCTGGCATCGCACCCGTGCCTGGCCTGGGAGATGCCTCAGCACACACGCACATGCGCACAGGGGGACATGCACCCCATACACGGCCCAGGGCATTCACAGGTCTCGCACACACAAGCACACGCATGCACACACCCAGACACCCGGGTGCTGTCCAGGAAGCTGGGACGGAGGCTCACAGCTCCTTCCAGAGCACCATGCCCAGGACACCCACCTTTATGGAGTAGGCGAAGGCTATGAAGCCCAGGCAGCATGTGTTCATGAAGATCGTGTTGAAGAGGGACCAGACCACGTGGTCGGGTACAGCGATGTCACTGCGGATGTTGATCACGGTGGAGGCTGCGGGAACAGGGCCATGGGTGCCCCCGAGCACGGCCACCTCGTGCTCCTCCTGGATCTTTTCATAGTTTGGGGGGAGGCCGACGTTGGCGTGGGAGAAGGCCGGGCCCGTGTGGCTCATGGTGCTGATGTGGGACAGGCCTGGGTCTGGATACTGGGCTCTTCTGTGTCCAGGTCTCCGCTGCAGTTTTGATTTCTCCTGAGTTTCCTTTTCCTGCCCATGGGGAAGTTAGGGATTGGCAGGGTACTGAGCGGGTGGAACTAACTCCTAGGATCAGATTTCTCCAGGGGAGGGAGGAGGGGAGGTTGGAGGGTCAGGGCACTTCCTGTGCAAGACCAAGCCAGGACTTGGGTCAGCTGACCACTGGCTGTTGGGGGTGGGGCTCTCGGGGGACTTTCCCAGGCCCGGGTGTCTCCCCAGCCCAGGCCAGCAGTGGCGGGAACTCACTGTCCGTGTCCAGGACCCCTAGCAAGGCCTCTTCTGTCAGTTCCCAGCTCCCAAGGCTGTGTCAGATGGCCCCCACAGGTCCCTGGGATGGGCTCTGAAGCCATGTCCAGCAGCTCCACCTGCATGGGCTTTACCCAGGAAGCTGTGCAGGGCAGTGACCTGGTGAGCACCCAGGACAGAAGTGTAGATGGGACTGAAGGTATTTTCAGAGATGAGGACTTTGTTGGCATCCCTGATTTGACTGTGTTTCCAAGATCTGAAGGTAGCAGCGGCTGTGTTAAGTGCAGGCTCACAACTCTCCTGATGTTACAGGTTTGCACCAGGACGTTTCCTGGCCCCTGGCCAGGTTCTTACCCTGAAGGTGAAATGGCCACATTGATGTCATGCTTCACGGCACCTTGCATGACAAGCACACCCCAGGACCCTGTTCCTTCTGTGTGATGTGGCCCTGGTGAGCCCCAGGACTTTGTGTAAGCAGGCCTCCAAGTTCTTTCTGTCCCTAGCCTGTCCCCTACAGCCAGAGGTGATTGGGCCTCTGTGTGCAGCTCTGCTGGAGGTGCTGCCTGTCCCGCAGCTGTCCTAGAGTGGCTGAAGAGAGGGCCTTTCCCTCTCTCAGGGCCACCCAATGTGAGCACCAGTCTGTCCCTGATCTTATCCTCTGTCTCCTAGGGGATAGCAGAAGGATGGTTACTGGGAAGCAGTCCTGGATGCCAGGGTTAGGGTTAGGGCAGGTTTAGAGATTGGGTGTTCCCAGGGCTCAGGCGCTGCTAGACACAGGATCAGATAGGATCACAACACATAGAGCATTACTCTGGCCCCTTTGTCTCAGAGTCCACAGGGAGTGATAGCAGCGTCCAGGTGAAACATCCACTCCTGGATGGCTCTTGCCTCCGGCAGGCATTTCTCACCCCAAATATCAGGGGAAACAGAGGTAAAGGCATTGGCACTGCCCTATGTGGCCAGTGTCTGCTGGGCAGGAGCCCTGTGGGGTGCCAAGAAGGTGGGAAGGCTCTGGGTGGGCACCCGGGCAGAGAGCAAATAGGGGCTGAGTCACCTCCCAGAGCCCACTGCCTTCAGGAAGCTGGTCACATCTACACTCTGCATCCTTCACAGTCTGACGACACAACCATGGTGTTGGCAGCCTGCTCAGACCATGGCCCACCTCCAGCAGTCCCAGCTGAGCCTGAGTGGGCAGTCGAGGGATGGCTCTGCTGTGTGGCACTGAGCTGCAGAGGGCAGCTTTTCCCATGGGTTCCGGCAGGAGCCTGTTCGCTTCACCCATTAGAGTAAGGCTTCCTCCCACAGGTGCTGGGAATCGCTGGGCCACCCCTGGCCACATCCTGCTTCCTACTTCTCATCTGCATGTTACTCTCTGGACCCTCGATCCTGCTCTGGATATCTCTGGGCCATGTGGGTCCAGAGGTTCTCTGGGGTCTGCAGGGGACAGGGAAAGGGGGGATTACTAGAACTCCTGCAGTAAGCCTAGTCTCCTGGGAGCCATGACAGCACAAGGGGGATTAATTAATATATAGACAGAAATGAGACTTAGAGAAGAAGCTGAGCTTTGGGCCTGATCAATGGGGCTCTGGGCAGCAAAGAGGAAAGACTCAGAGCTTGCCACACCTTTGTTTGGTACATCAGGAGTAACAAATGTAACAGGTGACTCAGCGGGCAGCACAGTGACAATCCTAGAACAGTGAGGAACTATGCAGATGAAGATTTTGTTTCTCCCAGGATGTCTTCAGCTGGCGTAGTCCTACCCTGGAGCATCACAACATCATCAGACCCTTGAGGTTTTAGCTCTGACCGGAGGCAAAAATGGAATTATGTCTCAACGTGCCATAACTGGCTTGTAGGCTTGAAAACTAGACCTAACCATAATTTTAATTGTGAAATGATTTTTCTCCAAAATTATGTAGAATTGCGCCCTACAGGGTTCAACTCAGTCTTCACTTGGGCTGCAACAAAGGGTTCCCTTTCTTCGTGCCTCCTTCCTCATCCACCCTCAGGGATTCACCCAAAGGTTCTTCCTAATACATGCTTAAACATAAGCCCTGGGGTGCAGTTTTGGTGGAAGGCTGATGGAGCAAGCTAGCAGCACCTTGCTGAGGCTGGCTTTTCCTGGGAGAAAGCGGCTTTGGGGTCACTGCAGGGAGAGCCGTCACTCGAACAGGAGCAGGCTGCTCAGAGCATGGACTCTGTTGGCCCCAGCTGACAGGAGCCTTAGGAGGAGGGAGGGTGCTCGGTCTCAGGAGTTCCATGTGGGGTGGACAACAGGATAACGGGACCCTAGGGTTTGGCTGGGCATCCGAGGGGCAGGCAAAGCCAAAGCATGGCTCTACAGAAGGCTAGGTTGGACAGGACAGCAGCTGGGGCCTGAGGCTTCTCAGAAGAGCTAGGCTGGGGTTACCTCCCCTGAGCAGGCTGGGGAGCCTGGTTCAGATGTCCACGCTGGGACATGTGTGTCATTGGCACACAGAGGCATCTTGGGAGGACAGCAGGATGAGACCCAGCCCTAGGCAGGGCCACCACACACAAAGTTCAGGGTTGGGGAGGGCAGAGCAGATCCCAGGAGATCCACTGGGACCCACCCACCCAGCAGGTGGAGGTTGGGCAGAGGATCCTGTGGGTGGGGAGCTTATTGTGGCAGCAGCCCTGCTGGCTGCGGTAGTCCCTAGGGCTGCCTGGCTTCTGCTTAGCAGTCACCTTTAATGGGATCTCCGTTTTCCCATCTTGCTGGGCCACCAGCTGCAGGTGGCACTGCCAGAGCCTGAGTTCTGACTTCTGGGCATATAGGGCTGTGGTTTCAGTGCTCTGGTCCTGAGGAAGGGGCTGAGCCCAGGCCTTAGGGGCTCTGGCTGCACCCAGGATCAAGGAGGTCCGCTGAGGACACAGCCCCACCCTGCTTCTGTGGGTCTCTCTGGGGGCAGCACTGTCTCCCAGCAGTCTTGGGTGGGGTCTCCCCGGTGGGGTGGGGATACAGGCACAAGGGCGGCCACTGAGCTCCACAGACCCAGACTGTAATTTGGGCTCTGTTAACGGGTGGAGCTGGGCAGCAGGGCGGGCACAGGGCTATAAGCAGGCCAGGCACCACCCTGGAAGCAGTCTGAGCAAGTGAGACGGCACTGGAACCCATGGACACGTCGTTCCCCCGTGAGGACCCTCGGGCCCCAACACTTGGCAAGGCTGGTGGTGCTGCTCCCGTGGCCCTCATGCTGGGAGCACCGAGCCCTCCACCCCGTGACCACTTGATCTGGTCCATCTTCAGCACAATCTACCTGAACCTGTGCTGCCTCGGCTTCCTGGCACTGGTGCATTCAGTCAAGGTGGGCTGTGGGCACATATGGGCCTCCAAGGAGGATGGGGAAGGGGGCTCCATCTGGGCTGAACAAGGGGGCTTCAGAAGTGGGGAGGGGGTTTCAAGGAGGGTGGAGGAGGGACTCCATGGGCAGTAGCTTGTGCATGGGGCTCTGGAAGTTGGTCAGTAACATGAGGTCACTGTGGGAGCCCTCCCCATCAGAGAGGGGTGCTGTTCACAAAAAGGAGGGTCTGCTCTTAAGGGGGTTTCTTTCTCCCAAGAGTGGAGTCCACAGTGGGGTTCCGCATGCTTTGGCCACTGTGGACCAAGCTCCCTTGCTTCCAGCCCCAGAGCCCTCTTTGCACACAGGTGATGTGGGGTAGAGCTGGTCCAATGGCCATGGGCCTGCAGCTGGGGCCTCCCAAGCCACATGCCTTTATGGTCCCTAAGGGACTGGGGCCTGTGACCTCACTGAGGCCCAGTCCTGTGTCAGGCTGGGGGCAGGGAGGGAAGAGGGCCCAGTCAGGTAGTGGCCCCGGGCCATACTTCACCCCAGCTCTTGTTGGAACAGGCCCTGGCCCCAAGACCCCTGGACTCGTAGTGACTAGCTCTGTGACTGTCTCACAGGCCCGAGACCAGAAGGTGGCTGGGGACCTAGAAGCAGCACAGCGCTATGGCTCCAAAGCCAAGTGCTACAACATCCTGGCCATCATGTGGACCCTGGTCCCCCCACTACTGCTCCTGGGACTGGTGGTGACTGGAGCCCTGCACCTGTCCCGGCTGGCTAAGGACTCTGCGGCATTCTTCAGCACCAAGTTCGATGATGCAGACTATGACTAACAAGCTGGGTCCTTGTCCTGACAGAGCACCCCAGTCCCTGTGATAGGGCCTCAAACCCTGCCTGGCCCTGACCCTAGAGGCACCCCAGGCTCATCATGGGCACCCAAGGTTGACCCACTCCGACCCCAGGGACCTCAGCCCAGCTGAAAAAGGGCCCCCAGCCCCTCACTCACTGGGCTCAGTCTCTGTTCACAATTAAAATTGCCAGATGGGGTCAGGGATTTAGCTCAGTGTTGCCGAAACTGCCTCAAAAATGCAAGGTCCTGAGTTCGATCCCCGGTAGCAACCCTCCCCCCAAACAAAACAAAACAAAAAAATAAAAGTGCCAGATGCCAGAGAGCTGGGCCTCCGTGCTAACCGTGTGGGTAAGAGCTGCTATGGGACCACACAGCCTGACCTCCGGGCCCAACTTCTACTTGCCCAGTTTTGTCTGTGCCCCAGCAGTCCCCTGCACTTAGCTACAGGGCAGCCTGTGGCTTCTGGGGTGGAGGTGCCTGAGTATTTTTGGACAAAGTTTGGGAATTCAGGCCTTTGATCCCTGCCGCCCTGTGATTTGGTGGCCTGTTTCAGAACATGTCTGGGCGTGTCCTGAGTCCATGTGAGCTGTCCCATGTGTGTGCTGCTACCTCACTGCTCCTCTGTCCCCGCAACCCAGGCACCCTTCAATGTATCTATGCTGCAGGGAACTTCCTCCCCTAGGATGAGGAAGGGAAGTGGGGAAGGTGGGTGGTCGATTTTCCCGGGGCGGCACACACTGGACTCCCACATGTGGTCACACAGACGTCACTTCACACGCAAGGACCCTCCCCAAACTCTTTGTGTGGCATAAGGGAAGATAGAGTGGGAGACCTCTGCTGAGCCCCAGTTCTGGGGTGCAGTCTCCGTCCTGATTCACCACATGACCCCACCCCCATAGAATCCGCCATGTAGAGGCTGCCAAACACAGCCTCAGGGGCGTGGGGTGAGGCCCTAGCCCCTGTGGCTCAGGGGCAGAGTGAGCTCATCACAGGGGTCTTACTGGAAGGCGCTTTGGGACTCTCAGTCCCACCCAAGTCCCTTCCCTCTTAGGGGCCCTTTGGCCTGCAGCTCTTCCTGGGCTGGAGGAAGGGTTAATCCCACACAGCTCCCACCTGGTGACAAGCCTGGAGCTGTGGCTTAGTTGAGTCCTCCACCCGCCAAGGGCAGAGTGTGCTGGGGGCCAGGGTGGACAGAGAGATGCCACCACCAACGAAGGACACGGGCAGCGTGTGACCTGTGCTTGGGCCAGAAAGGGGACAGTGTGCACCCTGGGTCTGTTTTAAGAAGGAGCCACTCTGTGCTGGACACAGAGGATGGATGCAGGGGTCAGAGTGTGTGCTACTGGGTACATGTCCCCAGGGAAGGGATCTTCTGCTGGGCCCTATGTGCAGTGGGGCAAGGACAAGGGCTGAGGACAGAGCCTGTGGTTAAGCTGCTGGTACAACCCTCCTTGGCCAGGCTTAGTCTCCTGGGCAGGCTGATGGACCCTGGGAAATTCCCCCATTAGTGCACAAAGGTGAGCCACACAAACAGCAAGTACCAAGCTCACTGTCCTATGGGTTCAGGGCCATCTACCACTCTATCCCAATGCCTCCAGGTAACCCCAGCACTGGGCCTCCACTCCTGCCTGCGTTAGGTGGCACCATGTCCTCTGTAGACTGCTGGTCCCTGGCCACTCGGTGACAGTGATCAACAAGGCCCTGCCACTGAGGGACAGTCAGCATAAGTCCCTGGGGGCTCAAGCCATAGTCCTGTTCCCGGGGCTAGGGACCACAGGAAGCATGGCCCCCATCCTCACTGTGGCCATGAGATGAGCAGTGTCCATGGGTCCCTACCTTTTCTGTACCCCATATGTCACCACTGGTCATGAAAACTCAGAATGAAAAAGCAGCTGGCTGAGGCCACCGTGTCCCAGACCGAGTGCCTGAGCAGTCAGGGAGATGCAGGTGCTGGGCTCCCAGCTCCAGAGCTGCCCCCAGCCCAGGGTGCCCTTCCCTGTGTTTGTGGCACTTTCTGCCTTCTGTCCGCTGAGTGAAAACGATAGGGAGGTAACAATGCAGAACAAGGGGTGGGACAGAGAGGGACTCACCTTGGTCCCTGAGCCCAGGTGTCTTACTTTTCTGTCATTGCTGAGACAAAATACCCAACAGCTAAAGGGGGAAAGGTTTATTTGGCTCACAGTGTGTAGAGCTTTCAGTCCATAATCGTCTGGCTCCAAGCCAGGGTGACACATGGCAAAGGGGCCACAGCTCATGGTGGCTGAAGACACGAAAAGCCACAAGAGACCTTAACAGCCTCTTTCTGCCCCTTTCATCTTCTCCAGACCACTGGGGTTAGGGCGGTGCCAAAGCAATCACTCACTTGCAGTGGTTTAGTAACCACACACCCTTAATCCCAGCATCACACACTCTAGATTCTAGATTCCACCTCTGAAAAAGCCACCTATGACTGCATGAGGCTTTGGGGACATCTAGACACAAACCATAACACCAAGTGAAAAGAGAAACCCCACACAACACACAATACTACTAATTCCTCCAGCTGGCTCGATACAGCGGGCCAGGCCTCACCAGGCATCAACCCCAGATGCCATTTGGCCTTGCTCTAGGAAAACATCTGGGATGAGCCATCCCAGGAGCTCAGGGCCTAGGACCAGAGGCCAGGGAGAGCCCCAGCTGCGGCCTTGAACCCACACACTTTTGGCCCTGGCCCCTCTTGCACCCAGTGGGGAGCTTTGGGCTCTTGTTCTGCCGTCTGCCTGCCCTGCCTCTGGTGCCAGTACTCCTTCCCTGCTCACCAGCCAGTGACTGGGGATGGGCTGCCCACCCCACCTCCCTGTGCCGGAGACTGGCCACCCCGAGTCAAGAGTGCAACCATGGTGTTATTGAGGATGAGTGATCACTTGGAGAAGAGGCTTAGTTCAATCACCAAGAGGCCCAGAGGGGCTCTCTCAGGAGAGAGCACCCAGCAATACGGAGACTCCCAGGAGAATCCCCAAAGCTGAGAACTCTGTGGCTTTTATTTAGAATACCACTGTAAGTGACACAAAAGCAGAAAACAGTTTGGGCAAGGAGCTGTCTCAAGGATAGACAGTTTTTGTTGGGGAAAAGGAAAGGACAATGGCTATACACAACATACCTCACTAATCTAAACCTCTTGTTGTTTAACCATTTGCCCCTACAGAGCCTGTGTGCTTCTGACCCGCAGTTTAGCTAAGTCCCACACACCCAGACCCCTGACACCCCGTCTTTGGTGGTTCTTCAGGTGGCTGTGCCTTTTCACCCAGCCTCACATCCTGCTGTCCATGTGACCAGAAGAATCTAGGGACCAGGGACCATGAGTGGGTGTACAGGCTCAGGCTCTGGTTATAGGAACAAGACAGGATGCTGAAGGATGGGGGTTGAAATCAGCCCAAAGGCAAACAGATCAGGTGTGTGGGTCCAGGCCCGGAGCAGCTCAGGGTGGGTGAGGCATAGAGGAGTGGTTTCAGGGGAGGACCAGGATGTCTCTGAGGCTGGCATCCTGGTGGTTTAGGGGCTGAGCTCCAAGATGAGACTCTGGGCCTGCAGCAAGATCCAATGTCTTCGAAACACTTCCAGGGAACTCTGGACTCAAGCTCCAGGGCAGCTATGGGAGTGATCTTTGTATCCGGCCAGCTGAACAAGGAAATGAAACCTTGTGCCCTGCAGAGAGAGGGGCACCGTGGGGCAAGGGCACATGTAGGGCACCCTGAGGCCACATCACCCCAGACCTACATACCCAGCAGCAGGGGGAGCTGAGCTCCTGATGGCCACAGCTCAGCCTCCAACTGAGGAGCCCCAGGCCATGCCTGGGCTGTGACCTCAACCATCACTGAGTCCTTGCAGAAGGTAAAGTTGAGCCTGTTCCCCCGGTAGAAGATGCCAGACACACACACTCTGGAGATGTCCGTCAGGCACAGAGGATCAAAGGTCACACCTCTGCAGGTGACCCTGTGGGGAGAGCTGTGTGAGAGATGATGAGGTCAGTCCCCCCCATATTCCTGTGCTCACCTGAAGCCTGTACATCCAAATAGCACTGCCTGCAGGAAGCCTCCCATGCCTGTCAGGAAGTTCACGGCCCCGGACCCGTCTGCATTCTCTGTCCACACCTGCAGAGGGTGGTTGTGGCAGGCCCAGCACACTAGCCTCCTGCGGCTGCCTTGCCAAGGGCAAGAGGAACTCGGGCTGTGACCACATGGGCGGGAGTGGAGGCCGGTGGGGTCAGCCTGTGGGTCAAGGGTGCTAACAGGCTGACCTTGAAGGGCTCGGTGACATTGGTGATGTTCCTGTCCAGAAGACTCTGTGCCCGTGACGGGTCCTTCAGCTCCATCCAGCCCACAGCAAACATGCTCTGGGGTCAGAGTTCAGAGGGCAGGGGGTAAGGCCCATGGGTTGGGGAGGAAAGAAGGGTTGTGGCGCAGGACCAGCCCAGGCTCCTCACCCAGGTCATGGCTGGGCCCCGAGGGGACGTCACAGCCTCGTAAATCTCCAGGTTTCTCCTGCGGACATCAGGACTCAGGGGGAAGGGGACGGGGTATCCCAGGAGCACGACATCAGCCTGCTTCACCTCCTCTCCTAGAGGGTGGGCTGCTGATGGGGCCGTGCTAGCTTGGACCCAGGGTCATAGGCAGGGAGAGGGTGGGGTGCCACTCACCAGGCTTGTACCCATCAAACTCAGGGTGGAAGTTCTGCTCGGGATCAAAGGGCACCTCGATCCCATCAGCCACCACCAGCCACTTGTCAGGGAAAGGCTGACCCAGGTCCCGTGCCAGGGCAGCCGCAAAGTGCAGGCTGGGGGAGTACAAAGGCTGCAGCCCCGCACTGCTGGCTGGGCCGGGCCTTCTAGGTGGGCAGGGGCAGACCCAGGGGTTGGGGTCTTACCTGTTCTGGACCAGGACATTGGTGTACACAGAGTTGTCGACTCCTGCATGGTACTCATCAGGGGGCATAACTCCTGGGCACATAAGTCCACCGCAGCACATTGTGCAGCAGTCAGCATGGGCAGCCCAGGAACATCCACACTCCTGCCGGCCTGCCCGCCTGCCCAGACCCGCACCTCTCAGGTCGAATTTCTTCTCCTTGGGGTTCCACTCCACCCGGCTGCACCAAAACTCAGCCACAGCGCTGACCACGTCCCAGCCACCAGCTTCTCGGAAGAATTGCAGGTCCTGGGGAACAGGGGGTTGGACTGAAGCCAAGGCATGGAGGGTCACTGTGCAGGTCCAGTGCCCACCTCTGACCTCGAATGTCCCTTCAGATGGCATCCCAAGGCTGTCCCCAAACGGGGGGGGGAGGGTATTCCTGGCAAACTCTCACCTGGGTGGCATGGTAATACAGCTGGAAGGCGAGCACCACTGCCCCATTGATGTGGATCTCCTGGGCCCCATAGATATCCTCAGGGCAGACCTCCAGGCCCGAGGCTGCGCTCTCCCAGGCAAACTTGGCTCCCTGCATGGGGCGGTGGGGAGTGGTGGGGCGGGGACATAAGAGGAGGCTGGGCTGCCTGACGTAGGGGCCTGATCCCTTCTGCAGGGTGGAGCAAGGAGGAGTGGGGGCTGGGGTCCCCCTTGCATGATCCTGTGGATCAGATGGCCTCTGCTGTCGGGGGCAACGCTACATCATTTTAGGCCTAGTTCTCCTGCCTACAGCCCAGCTATAGAATTCCGAGACATAACTCCATTTTGGCCTCCAGTCACAACTGAGACCTCAATGATCCGGTGATGCTGTCTGTGATTCTCCAGGACAAGATTACACCAGCTGAAGACGTCCAGGGAGGAACAAAATCTTCATCTACTCGGTTCCTCATTGATCTAGGAATTCTGCCTCTCCCTGTTCATCTGCTACATTTGTTTCTCGCGATGTATTGAATAAAGGTGTGACAAGCTCTGTCTTTGCGCCCAGAGCAGCACTGATCAGGCCCAAAGCTCAGCTTCTTCTCCAAGTCTCATCTTTTCTACCTTTCCTGTATGATAAGTTAATTCTCCTTGTGCTGCCGTGGCTCTCAGGAGACTAGGACTCACTGCAGAGGTTCTGGTAACATCCTTTCTCCCTGCTCCCTACACTCTGCCTTGTTCACAGGGTTTGCTGACCCTGGGTGGCCACCCTAGGTGGTGCCCAGGTCCCTTACCTGGTAGTTCAGGGCCCGGGCATTCTCCAGGGCCCCACCCAGCGTCCGGACACGGTACTCCAGGAGTGCCCGGGCAGCCTCTGGGTGAAACATCAGGATATTCGGGAACATCCAGAGGTCCTGAGAGAATGTCCCCATTCTAGAGCTGGATGGGCTTCCCGTCCAGCCTTCCCCAGCAGTCACCCTCAATATCCAGTGGCCACTAAGTCCCACTCTGTGCCCTCAGCTTCTCTGGCCCCCAAGTCTTGCCCTCCATCCAGCTCCACTTGGCAGCCAAGATCTGCGTTGCTCTCAGATTAAAGTCCCCATGGCTTCCTTGGCCCTAAGGAGGCTCCAGTACCACACTCAACGCCACCTGCATGGGGGCCTCTCCTTCGCCCATCGGGTGACTCCTTTCACTCTAGGCCTAGGCACCTGTTGGCCACTCTCATCTACCAGACCCCTGCACAACCTTCTGCCAGATTCTGCCTCCTCCAGGTAGCCTCCTTGCCTGTACAGCCCGTGCTCCCCAACCACTGCCCGAGTCCTAGGGTTCAGCCTCTGAACCCCCGCTGCCCACTGGCTCTCTGTGGCTGGTGCTGGGCGGGCAGTGCACACCTGGTCCCAGAAGACATGGCCCCAGTAGCACTCTCTTTGGCTTCCGTTGGAGAGGCCTCCAGGGCTGAGGCCATGGGAGACGTGTCCTGAGGTCCCAGGCTGGGGCAAGGCGCTGAACAGGTAGTAAAAAGAGCTACGGACAGCCTGGCACAGAGCCAGGGGCCCTGCCACATCCAGACTGCAGCCCGTCCAGAACTGGGCCCAAGCCTGCATGTGGATGGCGTACAGAGAGCCCGTGGCCTGCAGCTGTAAGGCCTCGTTGAGGCAGGCCTGGGCCTCCACCCGGCTGCCACCCACCACGGTCAGGAAGTCCCAGGTCCTAGTCTCTTCGCCTTCGCCAAGGGTCAGGGCAGGGGGCACTGGCGTCCACAGCATGTGCACCTCCTGCCGGGGGCCCCCTGGCTGCTCCGGGGTGAGCGTGAGGCCCCACAGGTACCTGTGAAGGTGTGGCTGTGCCTCAGTGATGGCTTCCTCTGGGGTCACCCCACCAGGACCCGGCCCCCGCTCACCTGAAGCCCTGGAACTCAGGGCCCAGGTGCAGGTCCAGGTCTGGGCTTTCCGGCGAGAAGGCTGATCGCAACAGCACCTTGATGGGCCTGCTCCCCACAGCCACCCGCGCAATGGACACCCTGAAGGCCAGGACATGGGGCAGCACGCGGTGGGCATAGATGCGCTGGGAGGCCCGGAAGCTGGGGCCCTCCAGGGTGTGCAGGAAGGAGCCTGGGGAGGGTTGGTAGTCTCGTCAACCTGGGCAGAGGCGGGGCAGGGGGGAACCCCAAAAAGGGTGCACAGCTGTTGCGCCTCCCTGGTGCGGGAGCAGGTCCCTCGGACCCCTGAGCGCCTCTCCCCACAGTGAGGTGTCCACCCTCCCAGCATCACTGCAACAGCTGCACAGCACCTGGGAGGCCCGAGAGAGGGACAGGCAACACAGAGGCCGCATCGGAAAGGCTGCCTCCCTTGGCCTCCTATTCTTTGTGAGGGCCCTGTGCAGTGAGTGAGTGCAGGCCAGGATGTTGTGTGGTCCCCTCTGCCTGGGGGAGAGGACAGGCCAGACGCAGCTACCTGTGTTGGTGTCCAGAGCAAAGGTCTGGGTCAGCTGGGCTCCTTTCCCCGCGGGGGCCTCCAGCCGCACGTTAAGGGGGCTGGGCAGGACCGCCCGGTGTGTGCTGCCCCGGGCCCCGTTGTACACGCCGCTCACGTGCAGTGTGTCATGGTACACACGTGTGCCCAGGTACACGTTGGTCACAGTGGCCAACAGGCGGGGGTCCCTGGGCAGAGAGTGGGAGGCAAACACGGTGGGGTCCGGCTGGGCGTCCTCCATAGGCGGTTTCTGGCGGGCAGGCTGGGCCGTGGCTGCTGGGTTCCCTTCTTCAGACTGTAGCCTCCCAGTCTCCGCAGAGCCTGGTCAACCCCGCAGACCGGGGTGCGGGACCCGTTTTTTCCAGCGCTCCACCTATAGGCCGCCTGGGAAAACGCTCTGAGCTCTGGTCTCCAGCCAGATGCGGTTTCCGGCCTCACAGGAGAGTCTGCACGCTTGTCCCGAGACCCAGCGAAAGAACTCACCCAAGCCCGCCTTCTACCCGACTCCCACGCTACAGCCGTGAGCGTGCGCGGACTCGCGTTCTGCAGTCGGGAGAGCCGAGGACAAACCAGGAAGCGCGGGGGCGATCGCGATTGTCCACGGCGCCTTTGGGACTCACTGCAGCCCTGCTCCGTCGCCGGACGGCCCCTGGTGTCCTTCAGTGCAGCCCAGTGGGCGCCGAGCCGAGCAGAGCACCTCGTGGCTGTGACCCGGGCTTGGCTCCCGGACGCGCGGGGGGCGTGGCGCGGGGCGTGGCTCAGAGGCCTGCGCGCGGCGCGGCGGCACCCTCACGCCCGCATCCTAAAGCTTTGGCGCCGCTGTACACCTGGTGAGACACGCCAGACTCCAGGGCCTTGAAGTCCAGCTTTCACCAGACATGTCTGCCTGCAAAGCTGGATTTGGGGTGCCTGGTGTGTGACGATTTTTTTGCCTTCCTCCTTTCCCGCTGTGTCCCTTTCGCCAGAGGGGGGCGCTGTCCAGTTACGCGGGGCGACCTTCCGTTTGCTGGGTAACCCCTCCGGCTCGCTCCGCCTCCCGTCCCAGCGGGTCTCCTCCCCTGGCCACGTGGAGCTCCCGGCACGGCCCCGGGGTGCGCGCTGCCCCGCTTGTCCTAAGGTTAGAGCTGTGCCTGGATTAGCGAATCAGGCTCTCCGCTTCAGCGTTCAGCGTGGACGCCGAGTCCGGTCACCGCTCTGGTCTCCCAGAGGCCTGCAGCGGGGCTGGCTCAGCCCTTCACCCAGTCCTGCCTCAGTTCCGCCCTCTTCGCAGCCCCTTGCCCCTGCCGCGCTCCCCCACTCCCTCTACTCTCAGTGTGTGGAGCGCTTTCCCGACCTTTACCCAGGCCTCAGCTGCTATGAGAACCCCGCCCGCTCCGCGCACTCTGTAGCCGCTCACTGCACTGTGCTCCCCTCCACGGCCCGTGTTGGCAGCAGCGCCTTTATTTACTGCAGAATTCATCATCTATGTATTTACTATATTACTGTTTCTGTATCTGGAAGGCTGGGGTCATAAGCATTTGTTTGTTTTTGTTTGTTTTTTGAGGTAGGGTCTCTGAACTCACTAGGTAGCCCAGACTGGCCTCGAACTCACAAAACTCGAGGCACTCTAACTGCCTCAGCCTCCCAAGTGCTGGGATCACAGGTGCGCGCCACCACGCCTGGCTAAGGAGGGTCATAAGTTTGAGGCCAGCGTTTTTGCAACATGGACAAATCTTGTCTGGATTAAAAAAAAAAAGTGCCACCATAGTGGTGCCCGCCTGTAATCCCAGTACTCTAGGAAGTGTGCAAGTTTGAGCCACTTTAGGGACTTAGTGAGAGCCTGTTTGAAAATTAAAAAAGTAAAATAAAAGTGAGCTAGGGACTTAGTTCAGTGTGAAGGCCCTGAGTTCGATCCCAAGTACTGTTAAAAAAAAAAGTATCCTATATTTACTGTGTTGTGTATTTATGTATCACATGTACAGTATCTACTGTATTTTCTATCATGTGTACTTACTGTGCTGTTTGCATGTTGCCTGCATGTTTATTATCTGTCTTCTATCTAGAATGCTGCCTTAAGAGGGCAGGGTTTTTTCTGTTTTGGGAATAAAAGACTGGATTTACAAAGTGGTAATGGAGGGAATTTCCCCTGGGGAGTGAGAGGTCCACTCCAGGGTACTCTCCACCCAGTCTGGAGCCCGAAAATGGAAAGAGCCCAAAGAGCCCGGCAGAGGAGACTGGGGCTTCTGGGGTGCTTCTTGCTTTCTGCAGTCAGGCCAGCTGCTGAGCCTGCTTCCCCAGTGGTGCCCATGGACTGAGCTGTGTCCTGCACAGGTGGGTTGGTGAAAGACAGTCAGTACCTGCTGGGATGCTTCGCCAATGCAACAGAAGCCAATGAAAAAGAATCTACTGGACAATTCATTGTCAGTGTGTCAGGGCCATCAAGGTTCCCACCCCGGGGGGTCTCTACTCTGCATCCACCTCCTGCCCTTCCAGCAGGAAGGACTTCTTCCGGGCTCTGACCTGCGAGTCCTCCGTCTGCTTCATGCTCTGGGCCTCAGAGGGCACTGACGACTCCCTCGGGAGGACCAAGGCGGATGCTGGCCAGCCTGGGCTTTGGTATCTTCATGGCCCGCAGCTCCTGCACCGATGGCTCACTCAGCTCCACAGGGGCCAGACTACAGCCACGTGCACCGGACAGAGGGGTGGGTCACAGAGAGGAAGAGGCCTGGGCTGCGGGTGCAGGGCTGGGGTCCCTGGGATGGGGTAGGGGAAGTGTGAGGCCGATGGCCTTGCCCGTGCCAAAGGGACAAGGACAGGTGACCAGTCAGGGATCTGCCAGAGATGAGCGGCCCTTGGGGAAGTAAAGTGGTGGGGGTATCGCTGACCCAGACTGTGCCGTGGAGTGTGGCTATTATTATTATTATTATTTTGGTACCGGAGTTCGAACTCAGGACCTTGCGCTTGTGAGGCAGGTGACAGAACCACTGAGCTAAATCCCCAGCCCTGGAATATGGCTATTATTTGATTAGCAAAATGGTCCAGGGCTTCAGAGGGGGGTCCTCTCTGGGCTGGACTCCCAGGTCTTGTTGGAGCCTGGTCACTTGGAAGGTCTCTGGAGGGAGCTTATCATGAGGGCCTGTGGGAGCCCCAGGGACGCCCCTGGGGTTGACAGGCTGGGTCCCAGTACCCTGCTTGCCCCTGCTTTCACCTGAGGGTTTGCAGGCTGCATCCTGGGTGCTGCCGGGCTGCACACAAGTAGGTCACCATGGGGTCAGGCAGGTAACAGCCGCTGAGGTCCGGGGTGGTGAGGGTAGGGCTCTGCCAGGGCAGGGCTACCAGACACTGGAAGGCTTCCAGAGGCTTCAGCAGCAGCACCCTGGGGAAGAGCTGAGCTCAGGAGCTGCTGGGGGTGGGGTCATGTCCCCTCAGCCTCCTGGGCAGAGCCTCACCTGAGTGTCTGTACCCGGCACTGGGGCCAGGCCAGGCCCTCATTCAGCACACGCAGACCAGCTTCTCTGAGCCTGCAGTGGAGGAGGCCCAGCTCGGTCAGGGCAGGGGCTGCCCTCAGGGCCATAGAGAGGTCTCGGTAGATCCTGTCAGGGAGTTTGCAGCGGGACATCCTGTGGTCAAGAAGGCACAGATACGATGCCTGAGATCAGGCTCACCAAACAAACAAACAGAAACCAAAACAAAACCTAAAAAGAAGCAGCTGGATCTGTCTGTGGGCTCCCTGGCCACTTCCTGTCCCCCAGTGCACAAACTGCCACTCCCTGGTGGCCTGATGTTCATGCTGGAGAAGGTGTGGGGCCCAATTAATTGGGCCATGATTTCTTTGGTCAGCTAATGCCCATGGTAGGGCAGTTGTGTTGTTTCTGTTTGTTTTTTCTTTTCTTTTTGCTACTGTAAGCAATGGCATGCTGAGTATCTTTGTGGATTTAGTTTACTGGTAGAATTGCTGGGCCAAATGTAATCATCCTTTTGGCTCCTTAGGTTCATTTCTACCTCCTCTCCACTTTCACTGTGCCTGTCAGTATTAATTCCTATAACTTCTCTCACTTTCTGCTCACTGGTGATGGCTAACAGTGACTGGAAAGCTATTGCATTCCAGGTACTGCGCACTGTAGCTCTTGACATCTTAACCCTGTGAGGGAGACCCTGGATGATTTCACACCAACCCTTTCCTCACTAGCAGCTAACTTGGGGATGGAGTCCTGGAGGATCCTCAGGCTTGCCCATAGGTCATCCTTCTGTCTGCACAGCACATCCTGCTCTGAGCCCCTCCGGGGAAGGACGAGGCTGTGCCCACTCACGTCAGGCTGCTCAGGCCACACCGAAGGTCAGTCATGGCCCAAAGAGTGGATGCAATGGGGAGACCCGGAGCTGCTTCATGGCAGCTTGAGAACTGCTAGAATAGAGAGGTGGTAAGGCCCACTGTGGTCCTTCCAAGTTCCTGATCTGTGGTCCAGGCTCTTGAAGCTGCCTCTGCCAGTCACCCCCACACTAAACCAGGATTCTTGCATCCCTTCCTAACCAAGTAGGTCTGCAGAGCCCTAGGCCCAGCCCTGGGACAGGTGCTGAGTGAAGCTAAGTTCAAAAACACTAGCACAGTTCTTGCCCTGGAGGGACTGAGGGTCTGGTGAAAGAGGCAGGCAATGGGATCTTCCCAATGGGGAAAAGTAACCATGGGATCCTGGGTAATCTGCAGCAGCCAGGACAGGCTTTGAGGGGAGGCAGCAAAGGGACTGCTGCACATGGAGGGAACAGCAGATGCAAGGCAGAGGGCATGGTGTATTCCAGAACTTACTGGAGGAAGCACACAGGGAAGGGGCTGGGCCAGAACTGCAGGAGGCAGATGCCATGCCAGGGGGTCTGTCTTGGTTGTGGATGGCTGAAGATGGGCATGGTGAGGACGCTCTGGGGAAGATGGGCGCTGGGCAGCTGCCTTGCAAGGGGTAGACAGAAGTAGCCCTAAGGCTCTCCTGTCATTTAGACAGGACGCCAGGTCTGGACGTGGTTCCCTAAATCTGAAGGGCACCAGTGCATAGGCAAGCAGTCATTCATGCCCCATGAGACTCACCCCTTGAGCCGTTTCACCAGGCTCCTCTTCCTTTTCTTTTCCTGTCCAGCCATCAGGCTGCAGCTGACCAGCCACAGCACCTGTCCAGCGGGACAGCACCGCATGCAGTAGCTCAGGACATCCAGGTCCATGCGATGAAAGCACACACGCTCCAGCATTAGCTCAGGGAGACTGCTCAGGGCCTGGTACATAAAAGCCTCATCCTGGGTCTCGTACAAACAGTACAGCAGCTCCAGAGGGAAGTTGGGCTCTTCCTCTTCTTCCTTCTCCTCTGGCTCCTCCGTGTCTTTGAGCCCTTTGGTCCCGTCTGTTCCCTCTGACGCCACCCTGAGGTGGCTCTGCCCCTGCACCCATCGTAGGGCATCCTGCTTCACATGGGCTGGGACCACGCAGCCGAAGTGGCGCTCGACGTCCTGCACACGCTCCATGTTCAGAAGCCCAAAGAAGAAGCGTGTGGTGAGCATGAGGTGGCTGCGCCCCTCGGAGCCCAGGCACAGCAGCGTCTCCAGGCCGCCTGTGGAGACCCCGGGTGCCCCCACGTCCTCCAGCAGGTAGGACAGCGCGGCAAAGAACTCCTGGAAGCTCTGGTTGATGAACTGGTAGATCACCTCAGTCTCCAGCACGCTCGGCAGCTCCTTCTTGATAAGAAAGTGCTGGACGACGGAGCCCCGAAGCTCCAGGCGCTCCAGATCCCCTTCGGAAAACTGCGCCTTGTGCCCCAGGACGCCTTCCCGGGCCAGGCGGCGTAGCTTGGGCAGCTTCGCCCGCACACCGGGCCCCTCGGCGCCCACGGAGCTCAGCGCGCTGGCGAGGAAGACCAGGTACACAGACGTGGTGGTCTTGGAGGTGCGTGACAGGTCTTGGCCCAGCTCCAGCTGCCGGCGCAGTACGGTGCACACGATCCAGCAAACGGCTGGCACGAAGCACAGGGCGAACAGCGTCTCCGTTCTCCTTTACGAAGCGGTAGGCACGCTCGGCCCTGCGCTCCTCCCGGAAGAACTTGTGGAAGTATTTCTTCTTGTCTCTGGCGGAAAAGCCGCGCACTTCGGCGCGCACAGGCCGAAATGCAGCTTTCCGGAGGCGGTGGCGCGCGTGGTCACCAGCAGGCGGGCTGAGGGCAGCAGCGCCTTGCGCAGCAGCCCGCCCAGCACCCGCGCACCGCTAGCAGCCTCGAAGGAATCCGTGCAGGGCGCGGCCTCGAGCGGCGCCGTCCAGGATGAAGAGCAACCGCTGCGGCTGAGCCAGCATCCGCGACAACGGCGCCCCGCGGTCCGGGCACTGGTCCAGGATGAGGTCGGCCAGGCTGCGCGCGCCGGGCCACTCCAGCAGCTCGCGGCACTGCAGGAAGAAGGCGAAGTCTACCTGGCCGCGGTACAGCTTCTCCGCTGCCCAGTCGTACAGGATCTTTTTGGCCGCCATGGTCTTGCCGATGCCCGCCGGGCCCTGCAGCAGCACTGTCGGCGGCCGAGGGCCCTCGGCGTCGCTGCTGAGCAGCCGGCTGAAGGTGCGTGTGTCCGAGCGCCACGCACGCCCCGGCTTGGGCTTCTCCGCAGGCCCCAGCGCCACCTCCTTCTCCCCGGGGGCCGCGCTCTCGGGCGCGATGAGCAGCTTGGTGAAGCGCTCCTTCACCTCGGCGTGCTGCTGCAGCACGCGCTCGCGGTATTTCTTCTGAAACTCTTTGGGCAGAGACGCGGACGTAGGGGCACGGCAAGAGGGGGCTCGCCCCCACCCAGCATCGGTTTCCTCCCCCTGGGTGTCCCCAAGGGGCTTAGGACGCGGGAGCCGCACCAGAGCCACCTACCCGACACGGTGAGCAGCGCCGCGGAGCTGGGGCCGAGCCCTGCGAGGGAAACCGCTTTGAGGCCCGGAGGCGCGCGTGGGGCGGGGCGGGGTGGTGCCGAGGGCCGGAGGCTTCCTCGGGAGCATCCGGGATCGCAAATTTGCGGATAAAGCGCAGGCAGTGTACTGGTAAGTGGGAAGGAGGGATGCCTCGCGGATGGGGGCTTCTCCCAGGAGGGCAGTAGAGTGGGGGTCCCGGAAAATCCGTGCCCGCTCACGTTGCAGCCGTTGCGCCTTGAGCCGAGCCGCCACGTCGTGCACGTCAGCCCTCTTCAGGGTCCTGCGGGTCACGTCCAGCGCGGGCTCTGGCCCGTAGAAGTGGGTCAGCTGGTCCGCAAGGTCCACGGCGACCGCGTGCTCCAGCCGTCCACGGGCGCGTCCCGCAGCTTGAGGAGGAAGCGCTTCACCTGGTCTTGGCTTAGGTACTGCAGTGCAGCCAAGAGCAGCTCCCGGGCGGCGGCCGCACGGGGCTCCAAGCTGCGGGCGCGCGCAGTGGGTTCTTCAGAGAGCTGCCTTCGTGGTCCTGAGCCCCACTCCAGGGTGCTGAGTCCCCATGCCTAGTGGAGGCCTGAACACCCGCTACTTCCTCTCGGGGCCCCACACCAACGCAGGCTAGAGACCCAGACAATGGAAGGAACACTGGATTTCGTCCTCCCCTCCTGAGACTCCTGGGCCCCTCCTGGGTCCATCTCCCACGGGTGCTGCTTGTGGCGCAGTGGGTTTGTCCATGGCCACCGCTGACCTGTGGGTGAGCCTTCCGGCTGCACCTCCCTTCCTCCCTCCTGCCTTGCACACACTTGGTCAAGTGTCCAGGAAGCTACATCTACAGAGCCTGGGCTCTCCCCTTTCCCTTCCCTTCTGAGAGCAGGAGCCAGGCGACAGGCCAGACCCCTGCTGTGTCCCCAAATCCCCCACCCCAGTGTCCCTGCAGGCTTTGCTGGGGCCCTGCCAGGGGCTCTTGCCCCGGGAGCTGAGCCCTTGGTGTGAAACAGACCTCTTAAGTACCCTGGGAACCACGTGAAGCTCCAGGAAATCAGCACAAGGCGAGGACCCCCCTCACACACCGCTGCCGAGACCAGCCCACACCTGATCCAGCCCTTACCTGGAGCAGGAGACACTGGCCTTGTCCATGGAGGCTCCGCTTGTGGGTCTGGCGCTCATTCAGAGACAGGCAGGGTGGAAGAGGCAGCCAGCCCTTCCCTAGGATGCCTCAGCCAAGGCCTAGGGTGGGAGAGGTGCTGCCTCATCCATTCTCCAGGTCTGAGCCTTCTGGTGAGACGGCCCCAGGCTCCCAAGCCCAGGTAGTGTGGCATGAGTGCAGTGTCACCCTTTAGGTGCTCTGCTTGGTGACCTTTGGTTTTTACTCTCCTGTTAACATCCCTGAGGTGGAGCCATTGAGGTGTGGCTGAGGCCAGGAGGCTGCAGAGGGGCCAGGCAGTGTGGAAGGAGGATTGGCTCAGAACTGGCCTCCAGCTAAGCCCCCCATGGCATTGAATTCTGCAAGCAGGCGAGGAGAAGCTTCCCGGAAGAGGAACACTGGGAGCAAAGAAGGAAGGTGCAGGACTGTCGCCTGGGCGCAGGAGGACAGGAGCTGGAATGTGGGGACAGGGACACAGGCTCTGCCGCATCCCACACCGGCCCGAGGAGGCGAATGTGCAGAGGTTTGGATGCGAGGAGGGTTGCAGCCCCACAGGTGCCCGCCTGAATGTGGAGTTCCCGTGCCTGTGGGGGGTGCGAAGTGTGCACACACTCACATCTGAGCGGCCACACTAACACTGTGCTAGTGTGAATGAATTTGTGGTGGGATAAATAATGGTCTCCAAAGACAACAAATCCTAACCCTGGGACCTGTGCGTGTTCCCTCCTATACCAAAAGGACTTTATAGATATGATGTAATTGAGGATCCAGAAATGGGGTGGTACCCTGGATTACTCAAGTGGAGCCAACACGTGCCATCAGATGGAGGCAGAGTGGGATTTGACATGGAACAGGATGCTGTGCTGCTGGCTTTGAAGCTGGAGGAAGAGGCCAGGAGCCAAGGCACCTAAGGAAGAAGATTCCAAGATGCCAGAGCCTGTGACAGCGTGGCCAAGCCCTCACCTGGAGCTCAGCCAGTGAAACTGATTTTGGACTCAACTTCCAGAACTGTGAGAGAAGAAACCTGCTGTGTTGGCCTCTGTGTTTGCTGTGGTATGTTGCAGCGGATGCAGACTCGAAGTCGACCTGGGAGCAAAGCTAGTTGCCCTGGTACCCACCTGGTGCAGCTCATCCATGCCCCATCTCTTTCACTCAGAAGCCTGGGAACTGCCCTGGGGAGGAGCCTCAGAGTCCTGAGAGTCTAACGTGCAGCCTTGACGCACCTGAGCCCATTTCTCCCTATTTAATACTAGTAGGCCCCTGTCCCTGAGGAGGGCTCAGGTAATCAACGGCATGGCTCCTGTTCAGCATCTCCAGACCTGCCTAATCAACTTCAGTCTCTCCAACTCCAGGTGCCATCAGTGCCTGTGGTGTCTTGGTGAACAGGGGCTCACAGGATGCTCACAGACTCAAGAGGACTGGCCTGGAAGGAAGGTGGGCACCAACATCACAATTCGGGAGGTGGTAGTGCACCTTTTAAGGGGCCTTCATGACCAGGAATTAATTTCTCATCACAGAGTCCTTGAGGTAGGCTTGAGGTCCCTGGCTCACTGGGACCCTGCCCTCTCAACATTCTGGCTGGAACTCACCTTCTCTGACAGGGTGGGATTCTGTAGGGGAAACCTTGCAAGACAAAGCAACAACCTTGAGATCAAATGGCTTGGTGAGGGGAGTCTGGGGCCTGTGCAGCGTGGTGGGTGACACTGGGCTCCGAGGCCACTGCTCCGTGGCCCTTGCTGACTCCTGGCTGATCCGAGCTTAACCGGAGATTTCCACACATTCCTGTGGGTGCAGACGTGGCATATGTAAGCATTGACGTGTTGCTGTTCAATAAACATTTACTTTTCTCTATAAATTCTTGAAAAGAAGTTCTCCACCTCAGCCATGCCTTCCTTTCACTGTCATTTAGAATGGAAAGCACAAAGCCAGGCTGCCTGTATCCGATGCTGGATGTGCTGCCCAGCAGCTGTGTGACTCTGGGCAGAAGGCTTCACCTCTCTCTGTGCTTGTTTCTCCGACTGCACGGTGGGAGAGGTGTGAGGGGCATCCTTGAGCAGTTGACGTCCTCAGCCCTGTGTCCCTTCGTGGCTGCTGCCATCACTGTCCTGCTTTCCAGAAGCTGTGCTTTCCAGCCCATCAAGAATGTTCCAGCGTTTAGCTCAGTGGTGCCACCGCCCGCCTTGTAAGCGCAAGGTCCCAAGTTTGATCTTCGGTACCAGAAAAAGAATGTTCCAGTGTCAGCCCACTTTGATTCTCATTCTAAGTAACCCCTCAGCAGCCCTCAACACGGCCAACATTGCCTCTTCCTCAAAAGGCTCTCTTCATGTTCTGGAGGGAATGGTGGACTGTGGTGCCAGGCCTGGGCTGTCTACCATGAGGGCTGTGCTTCGGGAACTCAGAGCATGGTCAGCCTCACTACTGCGCCAGAGGGGCCACCCTGTGGTGGGCTCTGCCCAAGAGCTCTTGACATCCCTGGCAGTGGGCCAGGAAAGGCTGGAAACCGGAGCCAGCTTCAGAGCCACAGGTGAGACGGTGGCAGGGATGGGCAGAGGGGAAGAAGGGAGGAGCAGACAAGTTAAAGGCCGCTGGGTGGGAGGGTTGGGGAGCCAGCTCCATGAGCCGTGGCAGCTGCTTCTGCATTACTGTCACCACGAGGCCAGTTTCTGAACCTCTGAGAAAACCTCTCTGCAGGCAAAGCTGAAATCTGGAACGCAGAGCTTTTATTCCACCATGATGTTTACACAGGCGTCGTCTGTAGGGGTTTCACTGTCCAACAAAACTTCATGGCTCTGTCATTTTTTCCTTGGCCCCAAGCCTTGCCTTCATGGCTCCTGAGAAGGTGTCCCTGGGTTCTCTTGGCCCTTGAGTGTCATCCTCCCTGCCTCTATGGTCTTTCTTCCTCAAAAGGCCTGGCTCTGGGCCATTTCAGGTGCCCACCGCGACTGAGCATTTCGTTTTCTCATCTCAGTGCAAGAAAAAAGGACTTCCCAGAGCTCCGCCTGCTGCTCTTGGAGAGGTGAATGAGGAGAGGAGGGGTGTCCTGTAGCTGCCCAGCCCATGTGCCCAGCACTGATGACAGAACACGTGCTGAGGAGGACACAGGCTCCTGGACCTGGCTCAAGAAGGAACAAAAATCTTTAGACCTACTTATAACAGAGAAAGAGATTAAATACAAAAACCTTCCTGCAAAGACAAGCCTTGGACCCTAGGGCTTCCTTGGAGACCACCAGACACCAACAAGGATGGGTATCAGTCCTTCATACTCCTAGAAGAAACATGATGAAGGGGACATTGGTGGACCCATGCTAGAAACCACACCACCTAGTAGCAGACCCACAAACCCATACAGGAAACCTTAGAACATCTTTATGAACATAGCCATGGAGAATCTCACAAACCGTTTAGCCGACAGAGCATGGTAGCACACAGGAAAACACTACACCAGGATGAGTGGGGCTTCTCACAGGAGTGCAAGGGTGGTTCAACACCCAAAATCAATTAATATATTATTAATATTGGAAAGGACAAAGCTCATTTGATCAACTCCATAGATGCAGAAAATATTTTATAGTATTCAACATCTTTTTTTGGGGGGGGTACCAGGGATCGAACTCGGGTCCTTGCGCTTACAGGGCAGGTGGCGGAACCACTGAGCTAAATCCCTGGCCCTCAACACCTTTTCATAATTAAAAACAGTAACTAAACTAGGAGAAACAGAAGGGACTTTCTCTAAATAGAAAAAAATCCAAAATATTTGGAAATTAAGCAACATACTTCCACAATAGCACATGGGTCAAAAAAGAAGTTTCAAGGGGGCTTTTCTGGGGGGTGAGGGGTTGGGCACTGAATCTAAGGTCTTCACATTGGCTACATCACCAGCTTTTAAAATTTTTAATATTTTGACAGGATTTTGCTAAGTTAAAAAGTTGTCCAGGTTGGGCTCAAACTTGTAATCCTTCTGTCTCAGCCTCCTGAGAAGCTGTAATTATAAGCATATATCACTGTACCTAGCTTTAAATATATATATTTTGATTAAATGAAAATAAAAGTCTTGAGCTGGGGATTTAGCTCAGTGGTTCTGGCGCCTGCCGCGCAAGCGCAAGGACCCGAGTTCGATCCCTGGTACCAAAAAAAAAAAAAAAAAAGAAGATTCCAAGGTGGGCATGGTGGTGCTGGGTGTAATCCCAGCACTCAGGAGGCAGAGGCAGGAAGATGGCAGAGCTCGAGGCCAGCCTGGGCTACACAGTGAGGTCAGGGCCAGCCTAAACTACAAAGCAAGACCCTGTCTCAAAAAACAAAAGAAAAATCCCAAATCAATGAAACTTAAAGAAAATTAATAGAGAAAATCAAAGAACTCAAAGTTATATTTTTAAATGCACACCTTTATTATGATTTTTATTCTGTTGTAATTTGCTCATTTGTACATTAATCAATACGTTTATGTTAGGAGTAGATAAATGTGACTGGTCCTGGAGAAACAGACTTTGCCCTTGAGGAATTCACAGTTTATTGGAAGATCACTGCATTTCAGATCATAGGAGTCAAGCTCTCGTTGTTTCTCTGTCCCTGGTAAGAAACAGAAGCTGAACTGCCATAGTTTAGTGAAATACACAATAATTTCAAAGACATACTGAATCACTGTTTGGTAATAGCTTTGATAAAAACATCCAGTACAAAAGGCCCAGTTAATGATTCTTCTCTGAATACCAGAACACTAGCTTTAATCTCATGCCTACACTGGAAATCATGCTCTGGAGGTTTGGAAGTTGATATTAAGATTTCCAGCCACAATCAACACAGACGTGAACAAAGTGAACTCATAAAGTGTACCTCTATGGTGACCCTCTCTATTCAAGTACTTCCATGGGTTTCTACTGCCTCCTCACTTGCTGACCCATGCATCTTTTCCTATGCAGTCTTCCTTCAGTTTAGGAAGTCATCCCATTCTGGCCTGGAGCTGTCCAGACATGCCATTCTCTCCAGCTGATATGTTTTTCACTTTACTTTTCCCTTGGCTAATTCTCATTCTGTCTTCAGCTCACCTTCAAATGCCATTTCTAAAGCTAGCCCTCCTTGAGCTCTCGACCCAAAACTTTCTTGCCCAAATCACATTTTCTTTGATATCTAGCCCTTTCTTCAAAGCACTTTATCTTTTTTTTTTGGTACTGGAGATCAAACTCGGGTCCTTGTGCTTGCGCAGCAGGTGGAGAAACCACTGAGCTAAATCCCTGGCCCATATCTTATTTTTTTTTATGCAGCAGACTGGAGTTTCTTTCTTGATGGTACCTTGCTCCAGTGGCTAAGATATTAAACAGAAGTGTTTGCTTGTGATGTAAGGTGAGGAAGGGCCAGGAACCCTTTATCTTACCAGGATAAAGTGGAGGAGAAATGCCTGAAAGAAGTTAATCTTAATAGCATAAAATCAATTAAAATAACAACAACAAGAATAACAGCTTTATCACAAGGTAGGCCATCTTCCCAGTATTTGAAGGTTTTTACCTGATCCCACTCTTCTTGGGAAGTGAAAGAGAAGAATGGAAGAATAAAGAACAGCCATAAATTTGTTTTTTGTTTTTTTTTGGTACCAGGGATCAAACTCGGGTCCTTGCACTTGTGCAACAGCCAGCAAAACCACTGAGCTAAATCCCCGGCCCCAGCCATAAATTTGGGTATAGGACTTTCTGACAGAGGGACTATAGGGTCTCTCTGCCAGCCACACAGTTGGTTATGGGTATACCTGAGATTTTGAGCCCAAGACCCATACCAATGGCTCAGACATCTGAGAGTTCTTGCTGAGCATCCTCATGGTACACTTTGTATCAGTCTCAAGCACATAACTTGAACCTGCAGATTCATCGAATATTGGGCTCTCCTGGAACAGTCTGTAGTCTTTACGCCCCAATCCACTCTACACTGATCCTGGAGTCTCTGATTCTCATGTATGCCCTTTTGCTAATGTTCTACAGGTCTGCAGTCAAGATAGGATTTTATGTCTTCAGTTTGCTGTGTCTCTCTGTCTTCCTGACTTGGTGGTCGGACCTGGCGAATTTCTTCTGGTTTTCAGAATACCACAGAAAGGACAGTAGGCTCCATTCTAATCGTATGGTGTCATTGAGATTTTCTGATTTGAGCTCCA